TAATCTCGTCGAAGGCTTTCCTCGCTTTCTTCAGCTCTTCATTCATCGACAAGAGATCCCTAACTCTGGAGTACTTGCGTTCATCCCGTTTGACGCAATGGAGGACGTCTTCGACGGATATCTTGCCGTTTTTGCCGACTTCCTGAGCCTTCAACGAGATGTCAGCGACAAACTGGATGACGAGGTCTTCGAGCATATCGACGGACTCAGTGAAGGGGTTGTGGTCATCACCGAAGCCATACATCATACACCGCAACTCCTTCCCAAACACCCGTTTCCGACGCTCCGACCCCTCCATCATGGCGTCCGAGTCGTTGTCCATCTCCGCCAACTCATCCCTATTGGACGCGTTGGATGTGTTTTGCGATGACATGTCCGACGTCTGCATCACCCAAACGATCACTTCAGACGTTAAGCAAACACTTTGTAAACACTGTTTCTGTCACTCATTGGACCAAACAATGCACTAACTATTGGCTCGCATTTCAAACACGAGTTTCAATCGTAATGTTTCCACTGTTTCTCACTTTCTTTGCTAATCATTATAATTATTCATTAAGACATCAAATCATTAAATATTTATAATTCACTGAATATGTGCTTACATTTAGTAATTGGAAACTCAGTTGATTGTCATCAAACATTTATTAAAACACAATTTATTTAATTTTACAAATTAATTATTTTATTTTAGAAATTCATAAAACTTTAAGGCAATGGTATTAAAGAGATAGAAATACAACGAGAATTGAATTTTGGATAAAATGCAGCAAATTATTGAAAGAAAATAGGATTAGGATGGGTCGGCATAACTAGCAAACCATAACCATATGGTTGAGACAGTCTGAGCGCTCAACATCTCCCCATCCGTAGTAAAACTTGTGGTCAACTTTGCCGACCACTTGAGTCTCATTTTGACCGAAATGTAGGTCACATTTGCCCACAAATATGGGGTTTGAGTTCAAGTCATGACCGGCAACGAAGGCCCGATTGGGTACAGCATCGCCGCCATGCCTTTCAACCCAATCGTAGTCGTGTCCCATCAGTACTTCATAACCCGATTTAATTGAGTAGGTTTTCCCTCCTTTCGTTACCACACATCCGATGTTTTCATTTGCTTTTCCCGGAATAATATCTTGGTCCTGTTTATGGCGACAAATATACAGAGGTTTTGAGTCGATATCAAAGCCACCTATGATTGCATTTTCGGGTATTTTAGTGCCAGTTATGGACTCCCATTGTAGGGAACAGTTGACTGATTTGAAAGAATATTTCTATTAATTCCTAATAAATACTAAGGAGTGATGTAATGCAAGAATATTATATTATTAATACC